AGAACACACATAAAATTTACCATTTTAACCATTATAAAGTGTTCAATTTAGTAGCATTTAGCATAACGTTTTCAAGGTTCATCCATGTTGCAGCAGTGTTTTATTCCTTTTTATGGACAAGTAATATTGCATCATACGGATGTAACACATTTCGTTTATCCACTCATCAGTTGATAGACATTTATGTTGCTTCCACCTTTTGGGTATGGTGAATAGTGCTGCTATGAACATTCACATACAAATTTTTGTTTTCAATTCTTTTGGGTAAATGCCTAGAAGGGGAATTCCTGAATCACTTCATCATTTAAATAAGTTAGTTTTCAGTAGCACAGACATCCTCACCCTCTAACAATCTGCAACCCAAGAGGGCTTCTGGGACCTCAAGAAAAGATAAGCTCCTTAGGATAAGATAATATCGACTTAAAACCCTCAGCAGTGCTGAGAAAGAGTTTGGGGTGTTTTAGCCTCTCTCTGATCTCCATCTGATCCTCTCCCCCACATTCTCTGATATGGGTAATTATGGTTTTCTCAATCTTATGTAAAGCGTATACAAGACCTATACCAAAATTCTGGGCCCAGTATCCATTCCTATCTCTGTGGAATCCAAGGATCATCCCCCCAAAACAGGCTGTCACCTACATCACTAGTGGGAACAAAGACTAGCACAATTTCTGTGGAGGACCATTTGTCAATATCTATCACAATGACAAGGACATATACTCTTCGAGCCAGCAATTCCACCTCCAGGAGTGTGTCCTCCACCCATGTGTCAACATGAACCAAATGGGTGTGCGGAGTAGTTCACTACAACATTGTAATAGTGAAAGGTCCTCAGGGGCAGAGCTAAAAAGTCCTCGTCCCCCACAGGGAGTATGAGGAAGCCGTAGAACAATTAAGGAAGCGCTCTCTGAATTGCCAGAATCCTTAAGTAATAANGGTTGCGATCCGTTGCCAGACACGGAAAAAAGACAAAAGACAAAAAAAAAAATAATAATAAAATAAAATAAAATAAAAGCAAGGTGCAGAACAACGCATATGGGATGTTACCTATGGAGGAAAAAAAAAAAAAAGAAAAGAAAAGAAAAAATAATTGCTGTCTGTGCATAAATAGTGCCACAATTTGTCTGTGGTGGAGCAGGGGCCCAGAGTGGGCATGGTAGACAGAATAACGGATCCTCCAAAATATCCAGATCCTAATCCCTGGAAGCTGTGAATATGTTAGGTCTCAGCATAATGGACTTTGCAGATATGACTAAGGATCTTGACGGAAGGTCAAAGGAGGAAGAAGGTGATATTGTTGGGGACCAAGAGCCAAGGAAGGCAGGCAGCCTCTAGAAGCTGCAAGAGCCTAGACGTGAATTCTCCCTTACTTCTCACATCCAGAACTGTGAGCAAATAATTTTGTTTTTCAAGTCACTAAGTTTGAGGTCATGCAATCCACCCATCTATAAAGTATATGATTCAATGGTTTTTTGGTATATGTCATGATTAGTTTTTAAGAACTGTGGTAGAGATAACATAAAATTTGCCATTTTAGGCCAGCCTGGTGGCGCACTGCTACAGTGCGCCGCTTGAGAACGTGGTGGCGCTCCCGCCGAGGGTTCAGATCCCACATACAGACCGGCCGCTCACTGGCTGA